AAAGGCAGAGCGGCGGCTCAGGTTTGGCAACTGGTAAAAGCCATCCTCTGGTCCCTGGCCAGATGTAGGGCAGGACATCTGCTTTCAACACGTATCCCCAAAAAAAAGTGTAAAACCCCCTTATCCTTCCACCTGAAGAGCCACGGCTTGGCGTTACAGGGCAGAGGCACCTCTGCGGGGATGTCTCGAGGGAGGCTGACGGTCGCCCGGCACCACGCAGCCCTTGTCCAGAGGCCAGCAAGGTTTGGGGGTGGTGGATGCTGCCAAACCCCAAATCGGGGTCCCCCTGCAAGGTGGGGGTCAGAGCGGGGGGTTGACCAAGCATCAAACACCCTGTCCCAGCCATCTTGGAAGCCCTCAACATCGACCCGAAATTTGTAGCTTCAGACCCAGCTCACTCGGACAACACCCCTCCGTGCCCCATGAATTAACTTGCTCCAATCAAGCACCTCTTCTCCCTCCTGCCCTGCAACCCGGAGAGGCAGCGGATGCTCCGAGGAAGGAGGAACCATGAAGGACGTGGCAGCGTGAAGCATCCGCGGGGCTCAGAGGCCACCGCTGGGGAAGACTCGTTGGGGACGTGGGCTCCCGGAGCAAGGAGGCAAGGAGGCAGCAAGCCAGACAAAAAGCTCTGAGCATCGTCCCTCTCCTCCCAGGAACTCGAAGGCTCCTGCCTGCTTCGGCTCTGGGCCAGCATCCTGGGGAAGGGGGACAGTCCGGGAGGGTTTGCTGAAAGGCAAAGCAGCTGGGAACACGCTCCCAGGCTGGGGAATCTGCAGTCAGGCCAACGCCACGGCAAGCCAAGAAGGTCCGCTCCAGCTCCTGGCAAAAAAAAGCTTGCGAAAGACACAGTGGTACCCGGCGAGCCTTGATCTGAGCCCCCGTTGCATAGAGAAAAGGTACTCTTACGTAGATTCAAGTGCGCAGCAGGACGGGCTCCTCCTGCAAGAAGAGTGCCCTGTAACTTCACTAACCAAACTTGCAGGTCCAGTCCTCGTCCCCAGAGTCAGAGCAGCTCGTCACAGCATGTCTGCATCCTCCATGCTGAAGCTGCTCCGGCGACTGCTGGCCTTGGATGCTTCCGGGGACATGGCCGAGAACAAGGGGTCGGAGGCCAGGGGCAGCATGGTGTCCTGCATCAGCATCAAGTCCAGCTCCTTCTTGGATAGGGATGGGAAGGAAGCACTGTGGCCGGGCTCCAGGCTGTCCGGGAAGCCCTGAGAGCCGTCGTCGAAGCTCAGGCTGTGGGTAAAGTCCAGCTGGTGGTAGGGAGACCGGGGTGGTGGAGGCAGCGCGGGCGGCGGCTGCGATTCGGGGTCTGGGGGTGGCAGCAGCGGCTCCAGCGTCCCCTCATCCCCGCCGGCTTCTTGCTTGACCACCTGCTGAGCCAGCTCGGCCACGTTGACGCCCGAGGGCGAGGAGGTGGGCAGCCCGTGGACGCGTGCCTGCATCTCCAGCTCCTGCCAACAGAGCACAGGAAGTCTTTGGTGGCGACGCCGCACACGGGGACACGGCACGCGGGCATCCACGGAGGTGGCAGGGACAGAGGGACCGAGAAGCTCACAAGGGAAGGAGCCCGTGGAAGAGGTGAAGGATGGGAAATGGTGACCTGTGCAAAGCTCAACAACACTCGCTGTGGTGACCTGAACCTCGGACGTCTGGTTTGTCTGAAGACTTTGTTCCTGGTGACTTGACAGCCGTAAGAGGGAGGAGAGCCCCTGCCCATCCCCTCGGCGGGGCAGGAGTGAGCTGCTCATGGGGCTAGAGCGGAGTGGAGGGAAGGAAGAGCACAGGGAAGCTCACCTGGATGCGGAGCAGCAGCTGCTTATTTGTCATCTCCAGACGCCGTGAGTGATTCTCCAGGTCTCGTGACCTCTGCAAGTCCTTCTGCATCCTCTTGATGTAGTCCACGGACGCCTTCAGGATTGTCCCTTTGTTCCAGCGCACGTCTCTGCCGTGCAGGATGGAAAAAGAGATTGCCACCTGCATGCCAGCAACATCTCCCCTCACCTCTGCTCCACCAAAAACCCCTCTGCAGGGGTAGAAGAAGAAGTATCGCCTGCCACAGGGCCGAAGATTGAGCAAGCCCGCAAGACCCACAGTTACCCCAGCCCCACAGAAACCACGGATACGTACAGGTCGTTGGCCTTGGGGATCAGCATCCCCAACTCTTTGATGCGGTCGTTGATGTTGAACCTTCGCCGTCTCTCAACTGCAGGGCAAGAAGAGAGGGATGGTGGTGAGGAGGTGGTAGGAGAGGCTCGATGTCCCACAGACCCCACCAGCCACGCTGCTGCTCCCAGCTCGTGGGGCTGGAAGCCACCATCATGCCCTGGCCAGACCCTCTGGTGTCAGGGGGCTCAGGATGAGAAACCTTTGGGGCCAACCCTCTGGCACCTTGCTCCTGTCCCTCGCCCCAGCAGGTCTGACCGTCCCCCAGGGCTAACAAGAAGGACAACAGAGTCTCTCCTGTACCACGGGCATTTTGCATAGCTGGGAAAGAGGGAGCCACGGCAGGGGTCTGTGGGAGTATTTCCTGAGGGCAAGGTGGGACGGGAAGGGGGACCTGGCTCAGAGAAGGGGGAACGAGGATGGAGAGTGATGAGGAAAGGGCTGGGGTGGGAGAGGGAAAGCCAGGCCAGACTCACTCAGGTTGTGATTGTCTTTCTTCTGGCGCTCCTTCGCCAGGGCTCGGCTCTCGGCATCTGCAACAGAGACCCACAACGTCACCCAGAGGGGACGAGGCTGCGTCTTGTCCCAGGAGCACCCCGGCACCCCCCAGAGCCGCCCCTCCCCACCTGCGGGGACAGGGCAGCCCCGGCCAGCTTTGGTGCTCGCCCTCACTGCCGGCCCCCCGCCGGCTCCAGGGCCAGGGACGTACCTGTCAGCTCTCTCTTCTGGGTGAGGTCAGCGGGGCAGGAGCTGCTGGTGACACCGACGAGAGAGGCTGTCACCTGGGGGGCCCCGCTATAGACATTCATGTGACTGCTG